AGTTTGATTTGCTTAAGTGAATAATTTTATTTATCTCCACATCTCCCTCTTCTCTTATTTATTTTATACCAAAACCCATACAAGCATATTATATTGACCAGTATAATCTAAAATCAACGAAAAATCCCACTCCTCTTTTGCACTCATAATTCGCAATTCGATCGACTTTCAATTGCATTCCCCGCCTTTTATACCTCTCTTCTTACTTTCTTTCACACATTTTCCTTCTACTCTCCCATATCATCTCTCGTATAGCATTTCTTTAGAAGCCACCGCGCATTTGATCACCAACAGAGATGGAATTCACCGAGATAATTCATCAACTGATTGGCCGATACACTGGTTTTGTTCCGCTCATTGATGAAATTGGCAGATTTGCCTCCCCCCTCAAGGTTGACTTGTCTTATTTTCCATCTCTCAAGACACTCTGTGGGAATCTCGAGAGTGATCACATTATTGCTGGATCGTCTGTAGTTTCACACTAAAAACCTGACTATCCAATTGACCAAAATATAGGGATTCGTGCATAAGTGAATCCATTGGCAAAAATTCAATTTTGCACTTTCAATCCGGAATAAACTTTCACACGATTTGATCTACATTTCACCCTTCGACAGCAAATTCCTTCAGCATTATCGCAATCTCCCATCTACTGCAAATTGTCCTGCACTTTCTCAACTCTGATAAGCCTCTCACGGATTGCAGATGCCATTCAGTCTCTCTCTCTCTCTTTCTCTCTCTCTCTCACTGCCATGTTCATATGGTCAATTTTGCAATTGTGAGCAAGACTCACTGGACTCATTGGTGACCTTAGAGGAAAAACGAGAGATCTGGGTGGAAAATTACATCCAATAATTTCCTTATAAGACTTAATACAACACAATTTCTAATTTGTCGTCGTTTTTTGAGACCCACTTTCCGCCATGATCCAATTTCAGGCACATATTCTCGAGAGATGGCAAATAAGACTATGGCAAGATGATCACGAGTTTGCGAACACTGAAAAATTTGTGCTACACAGAACAAGTGTTTCGCATCCATCCACCAGCACAAGACATCAATTGACCATTCACCCAGTCCATCATCCACCTCATGAGGTCAGAGTTTATCCACAATTTGTCCCCTTTCTCTCCTGCCAATCGGCGACAGTCATTTGCACGCGAGCGCGAGAGTTTTATTTGATTGTCTCTGGCCGAGCAAAGCAATAACATTTTGATGGCAATTTGCCACGGAAATAGATGAGATAATTGCAAAATAAATTGCTCCTCTTTAGGCACTCTTTCAAAATAGACTCCTCTATAAATCTATCATACGAAAAATAGGGGAAAAAAACGAGACGATAACTATAGTACAACTGGAGGCAACAAATTGCCCATTTAAATTTCCTTCTATACGTGCAAAAATGTGCAAAATCACCATTTATATGTGCTCGCACCAGAGCACACCTCTATCAAGTTAAAAAGGAAGGCACAGAGAGAGAGACATGCGAAAAGAGAGCCAACCTGTCAATCACACATTCACATTATTAATCTCCCTCTCATCGTTTTATATTGTACTGTGAATATAAACATAGCCCCTCTGCAAAATATACACACTTTTATATCCCAAACCACATTAACCTTCCAACCAATATTTTCCAATTGAACATTTTAACATCATTCAACACACAACAGCAAAACTCCACATGAGACATCAAACATTTTGCACTGTGCGCGAAACTTGAAAAGCTCACACACAAATCACCAGTCGCTCTTTTTTCCCATATAAATACACTGAGTGACAAAAATAGGGAAGTGTAGAGGCAGAGTGGAATCTCTATTAATTGAGAAAGGAAACGCTGGCTAAAAGTAAGCAAGCAAGCTAAAACTCCTCTATGCACACATCAACAAACGGACGCAGTCTTTATTAACACGAAAATCGATTATCTTTTCAGCACGTGACACAATATCCATAGATTAAATGGCGAATCTCTCATGTGAAGTCTGTCTAACGATTAATTTTTCATACTCTAAAATTAGGTTTGACCACGATCAATGGGTATTAGAATTTTTTTCCGCTTGCGCGTGGATAAAAGTGAAAAAGACAGCCCAGCAGCGATGAGAGTGAAGAACACTCATTTTTTACCAATCATCACACAACAGCCCACATATCTCAATTGAGAGATTTTCCCTATCACAAAAGTGAAAATTTTCATCATCATCCATTGACGAAGATGAAGGTGTTGAAGGCAAAAAGTACGCTTTACAATCACGTCTTTGTAAATCTTTTTTTTTGCTTCACTCTCCGCCGCCACAGAAAATCCACGCCACTTCATTTTGACCATTTTCAGTCATTTCCACTCTCCTTCAACACTCTCTCAACTATGGTGTGTGCCTTAGAATTTATGATATTTTCTCACAAGTGCATAAAAGTGAGCATGAAATACGCCGTTGATGATGGCAAGGAAAAATTATTAATATTGAAATATTCACCATGGGCAGTAAATGTTTGAAAATCAATAGAAATTTAATGGTTATCTTACTCATGCCCAGTGTATAAATTTCTTTGTGCCAAAGATGGAAAAACATTATGGTCTTCTTTCGACACTGTCGTGAAGTACCTTAAAAAAAGACCTCTTATTTCCTCACTCTTTCACTCACTTGCATCCCAATTCAATCAAGAACCACTGCAAATATCTCGCCTGAAAGTGAAATTTTTCCACCAATATGATTTTCAATTAAATTAATAACCACCTATTAATCGTTTCATGCAACTCCATTTCTCACCCATATAAAATCAACATTGTTACGCGCCTTATCGCGGACGATCGACAAATTAATTCGAGTAGGAGGATTACACAAATTAATATTTTAATTAACCAATTACACAGAGCACAGGTGGAAATTTTGGATTTTAGCTCCAAAAACAACAGTGTTTTGTACGAATTTTCGGAACCAAAATCGCGATAAACATACAAACTCATTCCATACGCCAAAGCAATGAACTTAAGTTATGTATTTGGTATGCAAAAATTTTTACCTTAATTACACTCAAACCAAAAAAAACAGACAAAACACATCATCCACCAATTCCTTCAAAGGTAGTAAAACCTAGACCATTAACTTTAATCAGATTTAATGGACAAAATCGGCGAATTTAATTAACTCTTTTTTCCAACACGTCTAAAAATAGTTTTGTTTGCCCACAAACACCAAATAAAAATCGATCACGTCCATCTTCGAAAGTCACAAACCATTCATAATTTTACATCAAAATACAAAAAAATACAGCTAAAGTCGATGGCCAATCTTCGAAATATTATTTGTCCAAAAAACCATCATGCCTGTTAACTGAAAGCTCAAAGTTTGTGCCACAAATGAACAATTTCCGCGTACAAAGTGCCTCAGCGATAAAACGTGTTTTAATTATAACACTCTTAGAAGGCAATTTACTATTCAACGAGTGATCTTCAGGTGGAATTTTTTGTTGTCTCTGTGACAAAACTTGCTAAAAGGTAAACTTGTGTATGAAATTCAAATGAGTCTCTTCAGCCTTGAAGTGTTTCTTGCCTTTTTTCCACCATCTTTGGTGCCGCACTTTGTCAACACAATTCTCGCCAAAGATGTTGATAAAACCAACTTCATCAGCGCATCTGCAATAAATCGCCATTCATGTCATCAATGATGATGTCAAAAGAGATTGAAACTGTGTTGCATTTATCAATGTGAAATCACCAAAAACATTTTATTGAGACAACAATGGAAAATGAAATTGATGTTTCTCAAATGAAAGTTCTTTCCGATCTCCCCCAAGTGTCTGCTTATGGAAAGGCTTTTGCAACATGCCTCAAGTATGTGGCATTGTACGAAAAAAAAACGAGGCACCACACAGCAAAACAATAACACATTCTTCACGGTGGAAGAGAGAAAGATCACATATTGGTATTATGGTGCCAAAGCATCGAAAATATTATACAGATCTCAGCATTTTCAATTGAAAAATTGCACACGAAGGCCAGAATCACCCACACAAAATTGTTCATGTATGATTTATTTTATGCGGAATTGATTGAAATTCGCTCTCTTTCTCTCCATTCTCTCCCCACCCCCCGTCATTGACTTCCTCCTTCTTCTTCTTCTTCTTGGGCCATTTGAATTTCTTATGGTGCATTTTCATCGCATATTGCAAAAGTATACATACAATATTCAACAGAGTGAGAAATTCCATTCCTCCTGATAGAAATCTCCAACTCTTTCCGAAGAGGAAAAGAGAACGGCGTTCCCTTTTCACCGCACATTTCTCTGTCTCTCCCTTTTAACTCTCTCACCTGCTCACAGAATGATTCTTTAATTAAAATTTATGAACTTGAAATGATGATTATAAACTCAACTTCCCGGCAACCCTTTCATTTTTTCCACCTCCTCCTATTCACACACTCACACTTTTCATCTAGCAAATGATCCATCGACCGAAGAGAGACTAGAAAAGACATCTCAAAAGGCAAAACAACTTGAGAAACAGAGTTCTTGAATGAGGCGACGATGGTAGCAAATCATCTTAAACAATTGTAGGTACATCATCATTAACCACACACATACACACTGCTTGCAATCCAAGCAAACAATCTTTCTTCTGCCCACCTCCTCATGTCTTATGCTCTGTAGACACTCATTTGCACCACATATTAATTGCTCAGCACTCCCCAGTGAGTTGTTGATTGTGAAATTGAGCAAAATGCTTCATAAACAAATTAGTGATTAACAAACAGTTAATGTGGCATTCATTAGCGAGACACTTTTTCCAGCAAATTACACACGAGAATAAAACCCATGGTCGCGTATCAAAAAGATTGTCGAGAAATTGTCAGCATTTTTGAAAGAAATGTAACAAAAATGCCAACTCAATTCTCACTTTAATTGCCAAGAAATTGCAGTATGGAATTGAGTGGAATATTATGCCAACTGGCAGAGTCACTTCATTACCAGAAACCATAGATAAAGATTGTGGGAAAATTCACTCACCTTCGCAGCGCACTTCAAACGATGCGAACTCCGTAGAATCTGCACGTTCTTCAAAGTCTTTTCTTCTCTGTAAGAAAAAAAAGAACAAGACTTGTCACGATTCAAGCAATTGGAAGTCATGTAAAATTACAAAATAATCTCATCTCATTTATTGCCGTAATTCTGTTAAACCTTCAGTGGCAAAGTTACCCGGCTTAATCGAAAAATACACTTAAAACAACTTCCTCCCATATAAACAATCACTATTAAGACTCTCTTATGGCCGGCACAAAAGCAAAAGTGGACGAGAAATGAAATGCACTTAAAATTTCCTTCATTGAAAATTCATTATTATAAAACATGTACCATGTTAAGCGTATTATGTAAGCGAAAATGCCTTTTTAATTTTTCTCCACTCCACAAAATTGGGAGAATTCATAATCGAGAAAACATGTGTGATTGCTGATGAGGATTCAACTAACAACAAACCACCAGAGGCACACTTTTTCTGCTCAAATCACCTCTGGATACGGAGAGAGAGTATCTCATGTGAAAATTAGAACAGAATAAATTTACCAAGACCGAGATTCACTGCCAACTAATTGAGGTGAATTAACCACAAATCAGATAGATCACATGAGAAGAAGCTATTTCCTTCTTGCGCGATAGCTTCATAAATTCCAAAATCTACACGAACTTCTTGACATGGGGAAGACATTAAAAGTTCTCCAAGACTGATTTTCAGTTCAGCGATCGAGGATGGAGAAGTAATTCTTTTCGAATAATTTGACAACACAAATGAGTAAATTCTCCATGGTGTTGAATCACAAATGCGCATTCTTAATTAAATTCAACATCCACCACGAAAAAGAATCATTTTCATCGTTCATGTCCAAAAAATCACTTCTCGATGGAGAATTTTTCACAGATTCTTCACAGTTTTTGAAGGGGGAGACAGGGAGAGAGAGAGAGAGAGGAAAGCCAAATGGGAGGAGTAATTATTGTTAAAGAAAAACACGATGCGCGCATCTCTTCACAAATCCCTAAAAACACTTTCAAGTGATTAACACTGAGGTGATAAAGGGCGCCCAAAGTAACGGAGCTCCAATGGAGCCCCACAGATTGCAAGTCAAAATCTACAAAGGTGTGGGAAATGCCTGTGAATATAACTCATAAAAATATTGCCAGTTCTTCCTCTTTTACGATATATTCAAAAACTCTTTGGCGATGCCACACACCGCTGAACTCATATTTCTCCCCACTCTGCATTAGCCCAAAAGTAGCTCATTCTGTCATTTCTAATCTAGCGAAGAGGAAAAAAAGGCTAGAATCTAAATCCATTTTATTGATTTAAGAGGCAGAATCTCTTCACGCAACACACGCATCTCATTCACGCTTCACGGCTTTTCAAGAGATTTGTATATACACGCAGAAATATATTTCTCAGTCAACATAGCGCGCGAGTCACAAGATTTTGGATTAAAACTTCCATGAGGAAGGTTCAAGCAATTTGACTTCATCTTCAATTTTGACCCGTGACAAGTGATGCAATTCTCTCCGTCCTTTGTTCACGATTGCCGACGCAAAATTAATAAATCAAAACAGCATTCACATCTCAAGAAATCTCTTTTTCCCCAAGATTAAAAAGCCATTGAAAGTGAAGAAGACAAAAAGTCATTTAATGGTAAAAATACAGGGTGTGTCAATGCAATTGCAACGAGTGAAAGACGAAAAAAATACGCGGACATTAATGTGCAAAATACTGTGAATGTTCATTTCATTACTCCAACAGAATCCTGCTTTGAACCTTCACAAAATCCCCAAAATCTCATCTTTGGCAGTCCAATTGGCACACACCGTGTCGGCAAGACATTTCCATTCGTTGCAATTTAATCAGGTGTCAGATGAAGAGCTATAAGTAACCGTGACAAATACCTTAAATACAGTTACTCTCTATTTTTACCCATTTTCCTCTCTTCTGCCCAGTCTCATTTCCCTTTACACGCTCTTGAGAAAACACAATTCTACAAAAAACAGCGACATTTTTGTTAAATAATCCGCTGGAGAAACAATTAAAAGATCTCCAAGGTGGAAAAATACCAGCCACTATGGAGAAATTAATGCTCATTTCCCCGAGAAGAAGAAGAAAAAAACCCAGCAAATGAGCCACTCTTCGCGCCCTTTTATGGCCCATTGCCAAAAGAGAAAAAAGGGGTTTCACTCATAATAGTGTTTTGTATTGAAATTATAAGCAATCTTCTCAAAATTATGTATTTATCCCCGCGTCGACACGTGGATTTGGGGAAATTTTATGAATATAATACACGGCTTTTCCATTCCCCATTTATTATGACCTTCTGTGCTCCCCACCAAATGGAACAGGAAAAATAACCACTCATAATTCATAAAGCACAGAAAACTCTATATTGGAGCGACTCCTTAAACGTCCCATTTGCATGTTCCATTTTCCATACAATTTATACCCACTATTCCTTCATATCACGATTGTTATCACGTATTAGGAATTTTTTCCACCAACAGTCAGCTTACATTTTATTTACCCTTCAACCACACTCTCGCTCTCGCTCTGACTTGTGGTCACGCGCCATTGACAGCACACCCAACTCCGATACCATTGGGGTTGTGTCTGCATGCCTTTTCCTTCCCCAGCAGACACGATAATTGTGGTATCGTTTCGGGCATTTCTCCTTCCCCATCTCCTCAAATGTTAGCATTTCCACCCACTTAGTATGAATAATTTATGCGTTTTGTCTGGACAGGAAGAAAATTCAGTGGTAAAGTGAAGAAAAGGCGAAATACAGCATGATTTTGTGAAACACTTCATCTCCTTCGAGGGAGTTGAATTGGTTCCTTTCGTGGCGGAAATTGCCACTGTAATGGTTTTACAGATGAAAAGATGAATTACGACGGGCTTGACCTTCAATGTAGAAGGACTTCAGCGAGGGTGATCGCTTTTTGGAGGTCATTGCCTGCAAGATTTCCCACGAAAGAAGGCTCGTCAGCAGACAAGAAGTGGGTGTGTTTTGAGATATGTGAGGCAGGGTTGAAAGTACATTGATATTTCGTGGAAACTTTCTCACTATCTCCTGTAATTCATCTCCATCGAAACGGTAGGTGTGTGTGCACCAAATTGCATCAAAGGAGGAAATGAAAATAAAGTGTTAATTAATAAATTGAATCAACGCTTAGCAATGCTATAAGATTTTGGTGTTAGATTTGCTGCTATACAAACCTTAAACGGTGGAATATAAATAGAGATTTATCATCGAGATTGCCCACAAGATCTTTCACCACCAATCTTCTTCAAATTGCACAAAACAACCAATCTCTATCCAATGAGGTGGAGAGAAGAGGGAAAAACATACATACAATCTTGCAGGAGAATAGAAAACTTTCATATATCGTGTGGCCAAGGCGCACAACGCATTACATATAGGAATAGTCCAGTGAGATTTTTCAATTCAATGCAAATATAATTTCAATGACTGTTACCCACCCAATAGTCAACTACTGAATGGCATTATTAAAGGCAGGTTACATTCGCACACACAAGCACACATTGCCGAAGAATAAAAATAAGAAAAAGCCCAAGATATGCTGTGTGCCTTCTGTTGATGAAAAACACCGTTAAATTGTGCATCTCATCCCATAACATTCACAGACTGAGACTTCTTGTTACACCTTCCACCTCTTCCTCAAACCCAACAATTTTGTGTTGCACGCAATAGCAAATAGGAGACATGAATTTCTATGCCACTCCATCGCCCATTAATGAAATATCTTTATCTCTGTGTCTCGAAAAATCACATGAAAACCCAGTCAATAAATTCTACCTTTTTTTTCTTTTCAAGAAGCACGACGAAAAAAACCGTTTTAATATCAGACAAAAGTGCAACCTTGCAGTGGTGACAAACACAACTTGGTAATTAATTTCACATTGCCACACAGAAAATCCATGAAAATTCCAGCATACGAGAAAAATTCCTCTGCAGATTTCACCGCTGCTCATTTTCGTGCCCGGAGAATTATCGAGAAAGGCATAACAGATCCGCTATTTTGAGAAATTATGACATTCTGGAGGAAATATACGATAAAAATTCTCTGGGATTCTTTTCTTCTCGCGCGCACCGTCTCTCTAAAATCATCCATTCATTCTCTCAAATGCTCCATGATTCATCCAACACTCACACGTTTTATTCACCCTGCAGTTGATAATCACGTTTTATACGCTCCTCTTCTTTGCCAGTCGATCCTACACACTGTGATTTTCCTATAAACAAAGTGTCACATTACCTTGTCCAGGAAGTTTGTGAGCCACCATACCAGAAACCGCAGAGAATCAAACAATCGCGCCTCCGGAGTCAGCGAGAAATCCACTAATATGGCTAAATACTTTAGCACTTCTCCACGTAATCGTTCTCTTGTGCATGTTTAGCTTCAGGGGCACCTCAAGACGAATTGGTGCACTTCCAGAGCCACACAATAGACAAATCCCCGGAGATGCATCATCAGGGAAGAACCCGGAAGGATTCGCGCACTTCAACCACTTTATATTGCCATGATAAATTAAGAGAACGCCATTAGAGTGGATTTCACATCTTAAATCGTGTCTTTGGATTTTAATTTCCCACCCAAAGTGAATATTAGAGATGAACAGAAAAGAGGACACATGAAAGTCTCTCTCGTGTGACTGTCTTGTTGAAAAGACCAACGCCGCTGAGAGGATTAATGAAGAGGTGTTTAATCGCGATCGAGATCAATGAATATGACACAAAAAGCTCATTTTTAGAAAATAACCAAAAACATTCAATGATCTCTGACTCTGCCATACAATTTATCAGGCCTTTGTATTCTGCATGGCACAATATATGTCTTCCCTCCTGACCTAAGTTCAGCAAAAGACGATAAAAAGCCCGAAACATCAAAGAGTTCTAAAAAAAAATCTCGCAGCACGCAAAATTAACCTTCAACTCTTGTCTCACAATGAGGTAGAGAATCAATTAGAGGAACTCTCACTCGAGTCACTCTATTTATCACAAGACATAATCGACTGTTGGCAACAATCCT